GACCACTCGTAAGCAATAATTTCTTTTAACCTCATGGTTAAGCAATGGTCACCTTTTTTGTTACAATAAGCGATTAAGTTGAGCTGTTAGTTTTCATTAAACTTACAGCAAGAGTCTAATTCTCGGCTCTGGTAGATTTTTTTCTTCCTTTTTTAACCGATATATAGGCAGATCAGAAATTTATATATATATATATATATATTGAATTTGCGAATTTGGAAGATAATTAAATTTAGTTAAGTATGATTAGTGTCGAGAACTGAAACTTATGTTAGCTATATGTTGTTTACTCAATTCTTGCGAATAAATAAAATTTATTTTCGCCGCCTTCATCTAAATTAGGTATGTGCTTTACTTTATTTGGGTGAATGCGCAAAAAACCGCTATGGAAGATACCGCAAAGACTTAACTCAAAAATATTCTATAACCTTTTTATGCTGGAGTTTCCATTACAATATTTACATAATTGCAGATAATATTAAACTAAAACATAATTTGGTAATACTAAGTTTTCACTATTGTACCTAAAATAGCTTAGCAAAATATTTCAAAAAAATATGAAATTATTTTTATACATGCGAGATATGATTTTATAGTACGAAACAAAATATTCATTGTCAATTCTTAAAAAAATATCAACAAAAATATAACTAAAATACATTTCAAATATGCAAACAAAAATTTATAACATACTTAATTTGATTTCAATGTACATATCTTATATAAACTGTCACACATCCAATGTCCTGTCTTATTATTGCCTTGAACATTATAGTTGCAAGTCATTTGATTATTGAGAATATAACAAAAATAAAAGTTTTAATACAAACGCCCTCCGTGCAAAAGAACATTAAAACTTATACATTAAAAACTTCATCGCCTGCTTTCCACCATCCTTAACGGTGGATTTGTTTCTCCAAATTGGAAAAAAGACGACCCATAAAGTATAAACTATTTTAAGTATAAAAGAACGATTCACATTTGACGAAGTTATCGCATAAAATACATACAAACTAAACTTACAGTCCAATTTGAGGGGTACTCTCTTCCCTTTTTTTTTTAAACAACTAAAATTACAAACGGTGCAATAGGCCTATATCACACAATCTCTTAATTTAATTACATTTTATTTTGTCCGTTATATATAAATATTATAACATATTTGTTTGATAATATAACATATCGATGCGATTCATAATTTTATCATACTCAACTATAAAATATTTAATACAATACTAGCTAGTAACCGGTGCGATGCAACCGCAACATAATTAATCGTGGAAATATTGTTTTTTTATTTGAAAGAGCTGTAATGTTTAATTAGGAATTATACATTGATTGAAATTGAATGAAATGCAACTTTCAAACAAATTTGTCAGAACGATACGCGTGTCACCTACTATAGTGTAAGTTTAGTAATTGTACTATGCCTACAACCTTCGCGTGAGTGTAAGCAATATGTTAAGAAAATTTTACCGCAATTTGATGAATGGTACGACATCGCATAAAATACGAACAAACAAAAATGAATTTTTATATATTAGATAAATATTTTTAAAGACAGCTTAAATGTCAGATTGTACATTTATGTAGTAGTAATATAACATAAAATATTTATCCGTTTACAGTTATTTTACCTCTGACATCGGTGATTGTATTTACTTGCTTGCTTGGATAATAGAGCATAGAGAAGCTCTAATATATGAAGTTGATCAATTGCTGGAAGCGCATGGACACAAAATGGCTAGACTTCCACCGTATCATTGCGAGTTGAATGCCATTGAACTGATATGTTGCCTTTTGAAGAGGCATATAGCTAGTAAGAATGTATGCGCTTGAAAAAAGATAACAGCAAAATTATTTGAAGAAGCTTTCAAATCTAATATTGCACAAGACTGGCAAAAGTGATATAATCACAAAACATACTTTATCGTTCCTGCCCATCTTAAATATTGTAAAATTCTAAATTCTGTCCACTGTCCTTCAAAAATCTTATATTCAAATTTCGTGCCTAGAATTTGTATTTGCTACTCAGCTGTCGTTTTTGAAGTTTCCTGTGATTGGTTAGGTTATAACCAATAAGTGAACCTTAAATCTATTCGAGTAATAGACACAGATTAACGTCAGAAGCCATTCACGTGTTAAAGATAGAGTCACGTCGGAGAAGAGGTATGTTTAATCCTTTACTATCATTTAGATCGGTGGCTTTTCTTTATTAAAAATAAACAGGATTAAAGTTAAATAATCAATACTTTGACTTTTGTAATTATTTTTAGTAAACATAAATAATATTATGTGATGCAAAAATCACATCGGGCAGAACTTTTTGGTAAATTGTGATTTTTTTCGCAGAATTGGACGATGAAGCCATCGGCAATTTATTAGAAGATTCCGATATTGCGGACTTCATACCTTCTGATGATGATATCGACGATCCGGAATTCGTACGACCAGAAAGCAGTATGAGTTCTACGGAGGAAGAAAGTGATGGACCTGATGTAAGTACATCATTTATACAAGCTCGCGGAAGGACTAGGCGAGGTACGCAGCGAGTTGCTTGTGGACGGTCAAGAGGAAGGTCGCGTGGGCGTACACGTAACAGCACTGGCAGCAGTATAGACTATATAGCATAGTATATACCGTCAACTACGGACTGGTCTCAGGACTTGGAGAAGATTTGTTAGAAGAAATCCTTCGAAACACAAACAATCAAGAGAGCTCTGATGATAGTGACCTACAAACTAACCAGAACATTCCACGAAGAAGGGGTAGACCAACTATTACTCTTCCAAATAAGAGCCGCCGCACTTCTCAGGCAAAACATATGCCTATATTGGAAGAGAAACAGTCCAGGTGCAGGTCCTGTCATTACAACAAAACACAATTTAAACGTAGTTCATGTCATATAAACTTGTGCTTAACAAAGCAAAGAAATTGCTTTGCTGATTTCCATACCTAACTATTTTTAAAAGGATTTAATTTTTTAAAGTTTATTAAAATTAAGAGAAGGTTTTGGTTTATTTTTATTTTTTGTTTGAATTTTTTAATTATTTTTAAGTCCAGAGAGGCTGCAATAAAAGTTAGTACTTTAATTACTAAATAAAGAGATGAAATTTCAAGTCTGATTAAGAAAACATAACAAATAACATAAAAAGATACTCTTGTTTTATTTACCCCGTTGTACCAAGTGTCTTTTACGAAGGACAAATAAAATACAGCTGATTTTGGTAATTCTGCCCAGTGTACTGTAAAAAGAACAAAATGTATGATTTTAAAAATAGCGTAAATCGTTTCATTATGATCTATTTACTGCCATAAAAAATATAAAAATTTTGTATCTTATGCAAGACCTTTTTTTTGTTCTAATTATTCTGGGCAGGAAGCACTTGTAAGATTTTGTACTTTGAACAGAACAGCGGGCAGAATTACCAAACAGGTTCTAATTTGCTTGGGCAGGATAAGGATATATATATATAATCGGAATCTCGGAAACGGCTCCAACGATTTTCATAAAACTTAGTGTCCAGGGGTTTCGGGGGCAATAAATCGATCTAACTAGGATTCATTTTTAAAAAATGTCCTTTTGTCCGCGTTTTCAGGTAATGAAAAACTGCTACAATATAAGAAGGTAAATTTTGACAGGATATTAACGATCGTAATACCTCAAGTGGGATGACGCGCGGTCGCGGAATCTTAGTGGCCTGGTTCGCGTCCTGTCTCTGGTCTGACTTTCTTGCCTTTTTTTTCAAGTTCCCTTCTTTTGAGAGAAAATCTATTATTTCAAGCCCTTTTTTTTAGTATTTTTAAAAATACGAAAATTTTAATTAAACTAATTGCACTCATGATTTTTTATTCAAATAACCAGTTCAGTTTTTTCTATTATGTCAATAAGATTAAAAAATATTATTCTTGTTTCATCAGTATGTAATTTGAATCTAAATATAATTTACAAAAAAAGAAATACCGAGGAAAGCTCGGTCATTCAGGTACTTAGCTTAAAATAGACTAAATGTATGAGCTACCCATTATTATACGAATGTATAAAATACCTACTACTAAAATATTTTGTACAAGGGAATCATACAAACTTCATGCTCAGGAGCTCAGGTTAGCCAACTTTATAGCTAGAGGTAAAATAACAGTAAACGGACTGTAGAATGCAAATTATGCGCCAATAGGAACACAGAACAAAAAATGTTATATTGTGGCGATACAAAAAAATGACATCCGATGTAATAACCTTTTTTGTCACTTATTTTTATGTGCTTGGTTATTATTTTTCCACAACATAGGAACATTTAATTACTCTCATTGAATTTAATCCATTTAAGTTTGTCATCTACCTTCGCAGCTATTTACTTTTACAATATTTTTTTTATCGACATATTTAGATTTAGGTAATTCAATATATACAAAAAAAGATACATTATGCAAATACATAAACAAGTTACAACATGTACATAACACACTAAATATTGCCTTTTAAAAAATACTGCGACATTGCTTTTTTATACATGGGGTCTAAATGACGCCCAAAGATATTTACAATAAATTTCATTATATTTAGATCTGGATCACAAAAAAAAAATTAAAAACAAACCTTAGTAGTTTGTTTACATTTTTACAGTTTCGATTATGTAACATGCACCAATATTTATCTCCTTATGTAATGTTTCTTACAAAAATAATGTAATATAGGTACAATAAATGCGGGAAATCGTTTACATTTTCTAATAAGCAAAGTTTAATATATTCCACATATGTATTATTATTTTTCATATAAAATAACCTGGTGCACAAAATTCTTATACCATTCTCTTCTGCTTTAATCTTCTTTAATTCTTTAATCTTTAAGGTTTTTTTTTTCGACAAAAATAATAGCTTGGCAATATTCTGTATTGCTGATAATTTCATATGAATACCGAAGCGTAAGATTATGCTTTCTATAGAAGTCTTCCTCAAAAATTCCCTACAGTGAATATATGACATTAAACACCATCTTAATGTTCGTGTCCCATTGTCAATACAACTGGAAGCATGGCCCCAATTGCTAGTATGAGCACTTCACATAATTGCAGACCTCCATAGCCCTTTTTGGGGGCAATGCCCTCTTGTAGCGGTAGGAGAGTGTGCGTGTGTGAGTGTGTATGGGTGAGTTCGGGTAACACGTGAACTGTTGCCACGTATAAGAACGTACCCGCTGAAAATAACATTGCAATACCTGGAAAGGAGAATAAAAGTGTGTTATTATTTTTTAATAAAGACAACGCTATAGTGATGTCATAAACAATAATACATTACAACTCGACACTCGACTTAGCTGCAGCGCTGCAGGTCGCGGATACGAATCTCAGATGGAACAAGTATATGTCGGGCCAATATATATGCATATTTCAAGGACTAAACGTAAAATTTACTAAACTTCGATTAGTTCGAATTATTGGAACAAAGAAGCCAACAATTTGCGTTGCAAATGTTGGTTCTAGCTGAAATTCTCTTTTTTTAATTTAAAAAACGTCGCCTCTACACAAGGATTTACTCCCATATCGTTGAGGCAGTTTATAAACATAAATTCCATGAGGATAAATATTCAGACCTCTTCCTAAATTTTGTGGTCAATCTCCCGATGCTTACCTGTGGCATTAAAGTCACTGAGCGTCTGCTTACTCTCGTTGCCAATACCGAAATATGTGAGCAGAGCAAGTAAAGGTGCAGCGCAGGAGAAGATTAGCAGATGCTTACGGATTCGGTTTCTGTAGAACAAGAGATAAATAAATTTTGAAAACGAATTTTAAGACCGCAGTTAAAATATTTTTTATTTGTTTATTCATCAGGCCGTAAGGGTGCTAAACCCCTGCTTGACATAAATTGCTACCATAATAGGGAGGATCCTCAGCGGACTTAGCCAAGTTGACTTCATACAATCGTTTGCAATATCTTAAAATTAAATCACGTATGGTTGCTTGCATTCATTTTTACAGTTCTAACGGCTACATATTAGTAGTAAATTATACCTTTCTTTTTTTATTAGCTGATAATATAATATATCTGTTGTTTTACATTTACACGTTATATAAATGTACCGTGTATGGCGGTGTAAGTATATCCACTACCTCATATCATCCCGTAGGTGTTGTAAAAGGCGACAGATGGAAACAAATCAGGAGACGGGCTGCAGCGTCTTCCTAATAATGACTTAAAAAAAAATAAACTGCGTTTTTTTATAGAAGGGGGCAAACGAGCATGCGGCTCACCTGATGTTAAGTGACTACCGGCGCCCATGATCAACCGCAACACCAGGGGAATTGCAGGTGCGTTGCCGGCCTTTAAGAAAGGATTAAGCCCTTTTCTTGAAGGTCCCCAGGTCGTAACGGTCCGGAAAAATCGCCGGTGGTAAACTATTCCACAGAGAGGTCGTACGCGGAAGAAAACTCCTTGTGAAACGTACAGTGGTGGACCGCCAGGCATTTAGATGGTGTTGATGGTATCGGTACGTTTGCCGCGTAGTGTGTTCACGAAATTTGGCGGCTGGAATTAATCCGAACAATTCCTCAGAGCACTCCCCATGGTATATGCGAAAGAAAATCCAAAGAGACGCAACATCCCTTCGCAGCGCCAGTGAATCGAGCCGATAGGAAATCACTCGGTCGTCGACGATTCGAGCCGCTCTGCGCTGGATGCGGTCAAGTGGAAGGAGCTGATACTGGCTCCAACCCAGAGATGGGAACAGTATTCCATGTGCGGCCGAACCTGCGCCTTATAAAGTTGCAGGCGGTGTGCCGACATGAAATACTTTCCCGCTCTGCTGAAAACGCCAAGCTTTTTAGAGGCCAATTTGGCCTTCTCTTTCAAGTGATCACGAAACTGCACGTCACTCGATATGTCGACGCCGAGGATTCCGATACTGGCTGAGGCAACAAAGGGAGTGCCTTGAAACTGAGGAGATACGATAAAGGGGTTCTTTTTAGCGGTTAACGCGCAAACTTGTGTCTTCTGAGAGTTAAACTGCACTAGATTTAGTCGCCCCCAATCCGAGACTGTTCAGCAAAGACTCGAATTCAGACACAAGTTTGTTCCCGGTACTCGGAGACCTTTTCCCGAGAAATATTGGCACGGCCGGTGTACAGAGCATCACCAGTGCTATCATCTGCATAGCAATGAATGTTACGGGTTTGCAACATATCATTGATATTCAGAAGAAACAGCGTTGGCGATAGCACGCAGCCTTGTGGAACACCAGCATTAATAGGCTTGTAATCGGAGCTTGCACCGTCTACAACGACCTTGATGCTCCGATCTGCAAGAAAGCTGGTGATCCAATTGCACAATTTCTCGGGAAGCCCATAGGAAGGGAGCTTCGAAAGAAGCGCTTTGTGCCAAACCCGATCGAAGGCCTTCGCAATGTCCAAACTAACGGCCAATGCCTCCCCTTTGAACTCTACTGCCTCCGCCTATCGATGAGTTAGGTAGACCAGAAGATCACCAGCTGATCGACCACGGCGAAGACCGTATTGGCGATCACTAATCAGCTGGTGATCCTCAAGGTACCTCATGAGCTGGCAGTTTACAATGGGCTCTATTGTTTTGGAGAACAAGGAGGTGATGGCGATAGGCCGGTAGTTGGACGGGTCTCAGCGGTCGCCTAGCCTTTTTTAGGGATCGGGTGGACGAAAGCCGTCTTCCATGATTTTGAGAATACTCTAGGGAGTAGGAGTACCGTAAAAGACGCGATAAAACCGGTGCCAACTCTGGAGCACACGTCCTCAGCACAATTGGGGGATTCCGTCAGGCCGACTAGACTTGTGGATATCCAGGGAGAGGAGTGTTTTGCGAACCGAGCGCTGTGTGAAATGAACTTCCGGCATGGAGCACTTACTCACACCGCGGGATGGTCGGCGGCGTACTCCCCCCGTCATCGAGAGTCGAGTTGGACGCAAAGAAAGAGCCTAGCAGATAGGCTTTCTCCTTTGCAGTATGGGCCAGTGAGTCGTCCTCCCTGTGCAGAGATGGAAGAGATGGCTGACAAAAATTCCCCCGGACAGCCTTGACGGGAGACCAGAATGCACGGGTTCCAGAAGGAAGGCGAACTAGTTTCTCGCCAATTCTGCCTATGTGCTCTGATTTGCCTTGGAAATGACTGTTTTGAAGTACCTGGAGGCGGAATCATACTTTTTTTATGAGCGCTGGTGTTTAGATCCCGAGACGTTGATGCGTCAGCCCAAGTTTGGTAGCACTCCTGCTTATAGCATGATGCTATTTTACAGGAGGGACCAAACCATGGCTGAGATTTGCCTCCGATGGGCACCACAGAGGAAGGAATAAAAAGTTCCATACCCAGAAGTACCACATCAGCGACAGAAACTGCAACAATGTTGGGATCGTCCGGCGAGAAGAAAACCCGCCCCAAAGGGTAGGACGCAAAGAAAGACCGCATCCTATCCCGATCGGCTGACCTATAGTGCCAAACACGGCGCCAGCCTGCAGAATGCATCTGCGATTTCAGCGTGAGTGGTACCATACTCCGGATAAGACAAAGGTCCGAAGAGTCTAAAGGGGCGTCGACGGAAATCTGATATCCGTCCGGGTGAGATGTCAGCAGAAGGTCCAACAGTGAAGGTGCATGATCCTCTACATCTGGAATCCGCGTAGGCGAAGTAAACAGTTGTATCAGACCATATGCCAAGGCAAGGCAAGGCCAATCCCCTTATTAAGCGTGGCAACTATAGCAAATATCCCCTCTATGAGGCAATCTGTGGGGGAGGCTTATGTTCAGGAGTGTACTTTAGACAGTAACGGTAACGGTAACAGTTATATTTACACTTACAACAAAAATTGTCCTTTTGTGTTTTTTTACCACACTGGTTGCGCCAACGCATACGTTTTCTGTATCTCGTTAGTTTAAATTTAACTGGCAAAAATTCCTTCTCCTACCCCCTTTTCCTCGCACATACCGAGAGACAATTAGATCGCCGCGACACACGGGCGTCCAACAAGTATAGTTGTCGACGCAAACCACAAGAGAAAATTGTTGTCTTAAAAGTTATTTAATGGTTGTAAATTTGTTATGGTGCATACGATTTTATCGAGAAGAGATCAAGTATCATCACAGTTAATCGCGCGCCTCGCTGCTACAGTCGAAGATACGAGATACGCCGCCTATTGTCAAGGTATTGTGCTATCCATTCTATTTATTATGAGTCGTTTTATTTGGTGCTCATCTTTCCTTCGTGCCAGCCAATGAATTGAATCAAACCACGCCGCACCAACCATTATTTCATGGTCCCTTCGAGTCCCATCTCACAGCTGATCCATTATTTTTGGGTCCTTTGAGCCGGATTTGTTAATCGAATCGTTGTTAATAATTGTTGAACTATATATATTTAGAAAATATAATTGGTTTAGTCACGCCTAAGTACTCAGGTAGACCTTAGTTTCGTTCCGCACTACTAGGTTATACTATAGGTCGTATGACATATTTGATCATATCGCTGTACTAATCCACCAACCGCGCCTCTTATTACAATTTCTCTCATCTTTTTCGTATATGCATATTTGCATAATAAGATTATTTGCGTTACTATTGTAATATTTTGATTTAATATTATTATTTCCTAGGTCAGTAACGTATTACTTGCAAAACATCATTTGATTTATTGCTGTTTTGGAATAGATTCCACCGCCTGATAATAGTTATCTACTTGTACATAGTAAATACGCCGATTTTTCCGTTCTCCACCCCTTTGTAGAGGACATTTATTTTATATTAATTATTGTACTGTAAAATAGTAGTAAATGCAAACGAAATGCGCCTTAAAGCCCTTTACGCAAAAAGAGACATAATGTTTTCTCGTATGCAGAATATTTGTGATCATCCAAAACATATTCATTTAAAATTCGTTCAGGAAACATTTTTGTGTGAAATAGAAACTATAGATTCGATGTGTTCAGATTTTGAAAGTGTCTTGGATAAAATTAATAGTTTTGAATTGCAAATTGATCCCGATTATGTACGAGAGCGGGTCGATAAGTGGGCGGAACGGAGGTGTTGGAGAAGGAAGGGGGATTTTTTTTTAACCGTCACTACTTGGTGACTTAATACAACTAGAAATACCAAGTTTCAGCTAGATCGGTTGATTAACCTTTGAAATATCACAAGATAAACAAGTTAATCGGGGAAGTGAACACTATGTAGAAAATTAAGTTTCGTATTGTGATTAAGTTCCTCATTTAGCATGGAAAACGTCACATATTATGGAAGAGATGTCATCTGTTTATAGAGACTATTGCCCTGGAAAAACGATGATTTATAAGTGGCGCTGCGTTTCCAAACAAGGCAGGAACTCAATTGAAGACGATCAGCGTTCAAGCCAACCGATAGAGGCAACTTCCTCAGACACCAAGACTTGTCTAAAAAGTGAAAATACTTGTTCTTGAAGATGATCGTCTGAAGAAAAACCAGATCGCAGAAATGACCAGACTTAAATGTAATATCTAAGACCATTTTAAACATTCTCACTGACCATCTTGGCATTTCTAAGGTCACTGCAAGATGGGTGCCATGAATGCAAACACCTCTTCAAAAACAGCTGCGGTCGAGTGTTCGTCCGAGTTTTGGACCTATGTATTGGAGAACAGGGACGAAATTAAAAACAGAATTTTGACTGGGGATAAAATTTGGGTTCATCACTATGAAAGTGATTCAGAACATAAGTTCACGCAGTGGCATAAACAGACCCAGCTCCGCCTAAGATGT